CTTGCCCCATAATTAGCGGTGTCCTTTGCCAGCCTTGTTTTAGCGGAATTTATCATGTCTTTATATTCGTTTGGATTTTGTTCCCTTGGCTCGTACTTTTGTGTGGTTTCATGTACACCTTTACACACTCGCTCGTGCACATCAATACGATCTGGGTTGAATCTCCTATTACATTTGTGACACGGGATTAGATTAGCGATAGCGGCCTTGGAGGCAAGTTCATTATGAAGGCTGTATTCGATGTTATCTGGAGTCGCCTTGAGATCAAGAGATTTGCTGCTCATTGTGATTATGGGCTTTACAGGAGGTTGCCTCCTCCGCGACTTAGGGAGCTGGTCGTTTTCATTATGCCATTTTTTGAGGCATTGAGGCTCATGGATATCTATGGATTGAGTCCCGAACTCGCGACCGCAAATGTAGCAAACGACAGTAATTGGGGGCATACTTATCGGGCCTTAAAAGCCTCACCTTCTGGCCATATGGCAACGACGCTTACTTAGTCAGGTAAAACAAATTAACAAATTGGGTAATTTCATTTGTTTTAAAAATTATTTGTAAAATTGCCACTAGTGGGGGTTTCTAATTTTTTTTAATGTTACAAAACTAGTAGACATTTCTCTTAAATATCTGTAATCTCAGGTTATTTGTTCATCACCATAGCTTTTCATAGCTGCAAAATTATATTACATATTTATACAAGTGGGTTGACCTCGATTTCGCAACTTGATTTTATTGTCAGGGAAACTCAGTAGGACCCACATTGTCCGAAGTCTTCTGTCATAACAGTTATCATAATTCCTAGCATTAGACCGTGGAGTTAGTATGTTCTTAGATGTCTAACCGGCATCGATGAGTCTTGCCGTTCTCCAAACCAAGCTACATACTCTTTCAAGAGACAAGTGAAGTTAATACCTCGACCAACGTTCTGCCGAAAACAATCACACTACCACTCCACCTTCTGTCCTAGCCCATCTATCAACCCATCACTTTTAGCCAACTCCCGTCCTGTTCCAACTTCTGACTTGTTAGTACTCCACTCATCAAAGCGTGTGCATATTTTTTTCAAAGTTAGTGTGGCCTCATCAGACCTGCTATTTACCTTGGCCCCC